CTAACCAAACGTTGTGAGTCCCAGAGTGCAGATAAAAAGGAGGAAAGAATAATCTAAGCTGCTTTGGTGCCCACTGTGAAGAAAGACTAATTTTCTTAGGGAGAGGCTGTGGGGGAGGATGGTGGAGACGGAAAGCTGAAGATAGAGAGGCAGATAAAGGTAGGTTGGCTGTTGGGTGGGAAGGAAATTGTGTTGCCAACTCCAGGTTGGGAAATTCCGGGACATTTGAGAGGTGGAGCCTGGAGAGGGTGGGATTTGAGGAGGGTCCTCCATGAGAACCACCATTGCCAGCCTCCAGATGAGGACTGGAGATCACCCAGAATTACAACTCTTGTCCAGGTGACAGAGATCAGTTCCCCTGGATAAAATGGCTGTTTTGGAGCGAATTCGGGATGCTATAGGCAGCTAGTGCAATGGTTTCAGCGCAGGCAGGATGTGTTCTCATGGAGATAGGCCCAACAACAGCCTGGCCACTGTAGCTTCTGACTTTGGGACAAGGGCAGCCCCATGTGCATTACAATAGTCTAATCTTGAGGTGACCGTTACCATTGCCAAGTCACCACGTTTGAGGAAGGGAACTGCCTAATCAGCCAGAGATGGTAAAAGGCTGCCATCCCACCTCAATCCAGATGTATACAGTATAGTAAAGGTAAAGGTTCCCTTGCTCGAAAGCCAGTCGAGTCCGACTCTAGGGTTGCGGTGCTCATCTCTGTTTCAAAGCCGAAGAGCCAGCGCTGTCCGAAGACGTTTCCATGGTCATGTGGCCGGCATGACTAAACACCAAGGCGCACGGAAGGCCTTTACCTTCCCACCGAAGTGGTACCTATTTATCTACTTGCAGTTTCTTGCTTTCGAACTGCTAGGTTGGCAGGAGCTGGAACTAGAGATGGGAGCTCACTCCATCATGCGGCACCCGGGTCTCGAACTGCTGAACTACTGACCTTCCACAGCCTGCAGTTCAGCATCTTAACCACTTGAGCCACCGCAGCTCCTCAGTATACAGTATAAAGGATGCTAAAATGATATATGTGCATGCACACACACACACACATTGGTTGTTGTGAGGGTTGTAACAGCTACTAGAATCAGAAAACCTTGTGTTGGAGCCATGCATATCAAGGGGGGTGCAAATCTCTCCCATGGCAGCCTTCCAGCTCCCTCTTCATGCTGCTCCTCGGGGTGCGTTCCCTATCCCCCAGAGCAGCATTTTAGGAGGCATTTTTATCTGTGGCAGGAGGGGGTGGGGTGGGGAAGTCATGCTTCTATGCATGGAGGCCCTTCTTCTGAGAAAGGAAATGTTAGGATCCTATCCAATGAACCCTCATTCAGAAATAATAATACTTTCAGAGTTGATAATCAGAAAACATATCAAGGATATGCTCCAAGTCAGTACTTGTATTTGTACTTGTACCATGCAGCTTAGTGCAGCTTTAGTTGACCCCATGCCTCTTTTGGTCCATTTCTTCTCCACCTTGATGGTCACTCACAGAGAGCTGCTGAGAAGTGCTTTTAGTCCCTTTGGAAGTACATTTAGTGCCTCAGTCTCTATTAGCTGATTAATTTTCAGTGTGTGTGCGCGCAAGAGAGAGAGAGAGAATGTCTAGCAATTCTGGTTTTAGCTTTTTGATGTTTTCCTACTACATGCTTTATATACACCTGAGATCTTTAGAAGATAAAAGTATGTGTGTGTTTGAAATCATTTATTTCATTGGCTTGTTTCCCACAAAGTTCAGTGTTTTCTCATTAGCCTGTTTCTTTAATGAACTTCATTTTTTAATGTTGATTACATACGTAAGTGCCATCAAGTTGCAGCCAACTTATGGTGACCCCAGCAAGGGGCTTTCAAGTGAAGTGAGAGGCGGAGGTGGATTGCCATTGCCTTCCTCTGCAGAATCTAATGCTGATTACTTTCTTGTTTGTTTGAAATTCCTCTTTTGTTCTAATTACTTCTCATCTACTTAGCTTAAGCCCACTTTCAAGGCCTGTCACACACTGTGCCCTCTGTATAGAGTCCCATTGGTATTGTGCACTTTTCATTGCAGGCACAGCACCAGTTTATTTACCTTTGGCTTCCTGCTCATGGATTTCTTCTGCAGTAGTCGTTCATGTGATATATACATATCAACATATCATGCACCACTATACCACCTAGTTGTCGTGTTTCAAATGAGTGACCGTAAATTCTCAGTCTGGTTCTTATATTGTGACCTTTTGCATTGTTTTTCTGCTCTGAGCTAATTTAAAATTGTGGTTCTACACAGTGCTTAATCTACTGTGATGGACAGCTAATTACAGATACATTATATCCTTCTGAAAACACTGATTGATGGAGTTCAGAAAGAATTTTACTCTTTTACCTGAATGAGTTCAGTCGAGAGTGTCAATTAGGAAGGAAGGTGGGGGGAGTAGAGAGAAGAGAGAAGGATCTGGGAGGATTCTGAAATATAGAAAGGGAAGTGGAACTTGTAGTCCCCCCTCAGTGAAATAGCACCTAGGAAAGAAGGGTGATAGTGATGGAAAATTTGAATTTATGTGTATATTCCTGCCTCAACAGACTTTAGTAGTTTTGTGTCAACTAAGCTTGTGTCTGTTTATTTTAGTGACAGGAAAGCGATCTCTCTTAACAGTCACAAACAACTGTTTGTAGAACAAAACAGCTACATTTTTGTCACAAACCACTGTATATAGTTATACCAAGTTTCCCTCGTTTGTATTGCCTTTTTACCTGCCCAGTGTAAAACTGGAACCCCCTGACAGTCTGACTTGAACATTTTCCCATGGGAGTGAAGTAAAACAGTTTATGTGTTTTGAATTCTTATCAGCATCATGTGTGTCGTATTCAGACATATACCAACACATGGTTTTCAGTTCTTTCACATCCTAGGATGAGTCAGAATGTATCTATATACATTTTAACATCTGGGGAATAGAAAGAGAATAAGAAAAAAAGAAGGCACCACTCAGCAAAGAGGAAGGGGAAGCATCTTATCTATATTCCCCATAAAATCCCCCCTCCCCCCGGCAAGCTCTTACTATGTCTGCTTGGAAGCAAGTCCCTCTTCACAAAGTCCTATAATTTTCCTTTTGTATTTGTTTACAGCCTAATTAATAACTTCCTATTCTCTCCTAGCTAGCCGGTTATCTTGTAGCACTCTTGAATTATAATGGTTGTTATTTTCTCTTCTCTTGGGGATGTAGGGCCATTTTTTTTTTTACTTGATAGCCAGCTTCTTTTATGATTATAATACAAGGAACCCGGCAACCACTGGGGTGGGGAGTTTCCAGCAGGAAAAACAAGGCTGGCAGCACAGCAGTGTGACTTCTGCACTGGAACTGACATCATCATGTCACTGGCAACATGGGGATGCTCTGTCATTTTTACCATAGGGTTTTTGCCCAAATACCAAGGCATCCCTGCACTGCTGTTGACATGATGATACCACTTCTGGTGCATGCCAGAAGTAACATTGCTGTGTTGCTGGATACACAGGCCTAGGCCTAGGTTTCCTGCCAGTGAGTCCCCCAGCAGCCAGCTGACTGGTGCTGGAGGAGGGGCTCTGGAGTAAGGGAATTCCCCCCCCCTCTTGGAGAGGGCCTGGCAGCCCTGTTATAATAGGACAACAATGATCCATGGATGTTTAACTGAACCATTCAGCTGTGAAAGGGAATTAATTAAGCTGAAAGGAGAAGGAATAGAGAAAAATTCAAAAGAACAGTCTTCTTGGGAAGCTGAAATAGCACTTTGACTGTCCACACAGGGCACTCTAATGCTGCAATTGAATTTTATGATAAAAATACCACAGATCAAACCCGATAGACAACACAGAAAATATTGGAATGCAAAAGGGGTCAATTTAAGTGACACCAGGATTGCTCGTAAAAACTGGGTGTGCTAACCATGGCAATTCCTGATTAAACAGCTATTGTAGAGCCACTTCTCTGTCTGAAATATCTGGTACAACAGGCTCCACTCCTAATATTTTTTAATCCTTTCCATAAATTTCTCATTAAAACAGCAGTAAAGTATACATTATTGTTCTCTTTTTTTCAGGTCTGACAGATGAAAAAGTGAAGGCCTATCTTTCTCTTCACCCGCAGGTACTGGATGAATTTGTGTCAGAAAGTATTAGTGCTGAGACAATAGAGAAATGGCTGCAAAGGAAATGCAACGCAAAGGAAGGTAGGATCTTTGTTCATTTTGGAAGCTCTGAAGAAACATCACTTAGTGATAGGCTGATTTTAGAATAGCATTTTGCTATACTCTCATTCCTGCATATTCAGAGGTAGAGATTCTGAAGGGCAGAAGGTCACATATGATCCTGAAAACTCTCATGTGAGTGATCTCATAGACCTCCCCGCCTCCAGTTTCATGTTTGCCTTTTATGGCAACAGTACTATTCAACAGTACTTGTATTTGTTGAACAGTACTTGTTTGTCCAAAACAGGCCTCAAAATGACAAAGTTATTATTTCTTCCAGAATATAAAATGGGATTTTAAACATGGCAGTCCGCACACATTACAACATATTCATTTGCTTTGCAATATGAAAATAAATCTATCATAAATGTACTTGCTGTTTTTGAGCAATACAGTAAAACAATTTTCCATTGACTAACATTACAATTAGTCATCCACATTTACATTCACATTATTAGTGTTCGGGCAGCCTTATTTTGGCTGGAGACCATTGTGGATGTTTTACTACCTTTTAACTGTACAAGACTCACTTTATGAGTGAACTTTCATAAGTCTAAATCTGGAACAAAAGTATAATAATTTCAGCTGACACCACCAGATGTGGCTACTAGCCTGCCAGGAAGCCTGAATAAGCACAAGCCAAGGGAAAAACTTGTGAGCTAGTTCACATGTTCTTAGATGTACTTCTAAAACCATAAAATGCAGACTCAACAGATACAAACACATGTAACATATAAGTGCAGTTGCCAGGAAGCCATGATTAGTTGCAGCTGTCTTTTGAGTCTGTGTGTAATGTCTGAAATAACCCTAAGCACTCATATCTGGATTTCATTGGTGGAAGACTTAATGCTTAATCATACAAAGCATGCCATAGAGTCCATTTGGAAGCATATGGGGTGTTGGTAATGGTGGTGAAGAACGTTTTCTTACCTGACATGATTACATTGTCTTCTCTATCAGTATTGGTTTAGGTGGTCTGAGATCTGCTAACATCTAGATTTGAACCCCTGGAAATAATTGAATTGATTGATCACTGCCTTACTTTTGCTGTATTCTTTGCTGATATTTCTTGTCCTATTCCGTTTGGATGCTAGATTTAGTACAGATCCCATATCATATCAGGAGTGTCAATAATGCTTGTGGTCTGTTGACACATGGCATTCAGTAGTTGGTTTCCTGATATTTCTTGTCCTATTCCGTTTGGATACTAGATTTAGTACAGATCCCATATCATAACAGGAGTGTCAATAATGCTTGTGGCATTCAGTAGTTGGTTTTCTAATTTGGTGCAGGCAGTGCAAGTGTGCAGCGTAGGTAGTGGGAGGTCAGTATGTGCCTCACATATAGCCAACCAGACCCCCTCCCTATGAGACAGTCTATGCACAGTATATCTGCAGTTGAGCTCACTTCGGTGATTTTATTCTAGCAATTTTAGAAGTTACAGGCCGTTATAATGGTTGATAGAGAACATTGTGTTAATATAGAACACAAATAGCATTAGAATGTAACCCAGTAATTCGTATTCATTTTCAAAGTTAGATATTTGACTACAGCTCTGAATCGAACAGTAGTACAGCTAGTTTTTGAATAGTTAGGAGCTGGAAACATACATTACTTTTAGTTTTTTAAATATATATATATAGTTATATGATCTAGATAATCAAATGGAATTCAGGGGAATTGTAAAGAACATGGTGATGCAGTATGATTATTCAGTAACTTCTTGATGTTCTGTTGCCTCCCACTACTGTGGAAAATGAAATAGTGACATAGGGTATTAATATTCTCAAGCTGTTATTTAGCTGCCTTTAAGACTATATTACACCCATTAATACTATATTAGTAACAAATATTGCTTTTCTGTACTTATGTTTCTAAACATATATAAACATATGAAGCTGCCTTATACAGAGTAAGAAGATTGTTTGTCAAAATTAGTATTGTCTACTCTGACTGGCAGCAGGGTCTCAGGTAAAAGTCTTCCATATTACTTGTATCCTTTTTAAAACTGGATTGAACCTGGAACTTTCTGCATACAAACAGATGTTCTACCACTGTGCCATGGCTCCACCGCAGTGTACAATATATTCTGTTATATAGTAGAAAAATGCTTTCTAAAAATTATGACTATGTACGCTGGGATGGAGTGATTAATAAATCAAATAAATAATAATAATATACAGTACTAGAATAGGAATGGTTGGCAGAAGAGTTTTATCACTCATTCAGGCCCCATGCAAATTAGACACCCATGCTTTGGATGTCCAGCAGGCCTATAGGACATTTCTGTGGGAATGAAGGTAGTGGTTGTGGTTCCAGTTGCCCATCACGTATACTTGGTAAATTTGTCAGAACTGACCCTTTATGTCTGATAGTAGCATCCACTTCTTAGAAAACGGAGACACAAGAGAGGGAACTATAGCACATCCTCTGCAGTTATTATCATCCTCCGGTTATTTAGGACATAAAATATTTTCAAGATAAAAATGTATTTACTCATAAAAATTCAACATGCCACATGGCTAAAACATTACAGATTGAACTGTTAAGTATTTGCAAAAACAAGAATTTCAGAATCATAAACACAAACAAAACAACCAGCACAAAAGCTCCATTTCCCCCCCTCTTTCATTCCCACAGACAGCCCCCCTCTCCCCCATCAAATTCCTGGAGAACTCTTACTATATATTACTTAACATGCACAAGAACAAGGCTTCACACACACAGAGGTATTAACACTTGTTGGGGCCCTGTGGACTAGAATACAGCAAAGACAGCATTCAAATGGAAAGACCATCTCCCATACTATCCAGCTCACCAGTTAAGGTTTGCCTCTCAAGCCCCGCTCTCTGTATCCCCGATTTCAGAGGTGAGGTGGGTAGGGATTAGAGGCAGAGCTAACTACACAGATAATACAAGGCGTGAGCTGAACAGAGTAGACTGTCGAAGCAAGGAATGTGCATTGCGCAGTAAGAGAAGAGAAGAAGGTGTGTTTTTCAGTAAGAAGGCACCCTTTGCCAAATATTTTAAAAGATTGCTGCTCTTTTTCTACATTATTCAGAGAGGTGACTGAAGTATAACATTAAACACGGAGAACTTTGGCAAGGCTTCTTTATGCTGCCAGCTGGAAGAATAAATGCATACTGTACCCACATGCTTCAAAAATCAGATTCTCTACTTGATGTGTGATTAGGTCAGACCTGAGTATAAGCAGAAGAATCTGTCTCCGTTGCATGTAGTTGGAACCTTTATATAAGGCAGGATATGATTCCAGCCAAATCTCTTTAGCTGTTCTGAAAAGAAGGAATTTATGTTCTGGTCATTTTTCCAATGCATGTGTTTGTGCAGTGGACACGCAAACATTTGCTCAGTGTAATATTTTCAGTCCCTGGAGTACAATAAATAAAATATGTCTTTAATACAAATGTACGTATGTTGTAGTTACCGTAGAGTTCCTTAAGAGAGAATGAGATGGTTCCCTTGACGTAAATCTGTTCCACACTGGATCACTGCTGTCTCCCATGTGGTAACCTATCATTTCTGCTGCTAATGATCCCCTTACCCTTGTTGACGTTAGCAGATGATTCCCAAGGGACATTTTCTTTTGTTTCCCTTGTCAGCTGGTCTGAAAAGAGTGCACTGTTCAGTCTTCTTGACTTCTCTGCAGATGCTGAGAATTGCACTTCAACGTTCAGCAAAAGTCTGTTTGTTTTCAGTGTATTCAGGAACATAGAAACAAGAAAGTGCGCCAGCCTATTTTATATTCTGTGGCAGATTAACCCTAGAAGCACAGAAATCACAGATGTTTAGTATCATTGTCTTTCTTAGCGATATTGTTTTGGTGTTTTTATTTTTCTCTTATAAAAGAACCAATTAACACATAAAGGTGAAATTATGTACAAAAAAACAAGCAGTCAGAGCACTGTAGTAGGTATGAAGGGCAAATACAAAAGGGTGAAAAAGTTTGCACTCAGTTTGAAATCTTCCCAAAGATTTCACAGTATAGTGAAAACAAACACAGAGACTGTTACAATTTGTTCTTAAGTTAAAGCCAAATCCATAGAGGTCAGCAGGCCTGTGAAACATTGGTTCTCAGGAAGTGGAAGCTGTCCATGTTATTACTTTCTTCCATCACGCATGCCCCCTATACTATAATCTGTAAATTGCAGGAGGTGCTTATCATGTGGTCCCTTCTCCCAGTTCAAAAAGCCTCACCCCCATTTCGAATTGCATCCAGATCTCTGATCTTGGGCTCAGCTCAGGAGGAGTTCATACTTACCTTCCTCCAGCCCTAGCCTGATCTCTTGTCAGTTCCCCACCCCTTCCTCATTAGATACAGGAGAAACTGCACAGGGCCTCATTAATTGCAGAATGAATTCCATAATATCCATCCATTATATCCTGCCAGGTCTGAGTCTGTAAGAGGGCAAACATGTTTCCTGGGGGTTTACACCCCAGGTTTTTCATCCTATGCCTTTTAACAGGTCTTCTAACAGGGGAGTTGAACTTCAAATTGGTGTGTAAGGCAAAGAGAGGTAAGTGTGTGAGAGAGATATGTCCTGAGGTGTGATTCCTGAACTGTTTGGGGTTGGGTGTGTCTGTCTGAAAGTCTTCTAGCTTTTGGTGATGAGTGCTCTAGAAGCTCATTATCTTGCTTCTGCTGAGTGAGGTCAATCAGCTGCCTGCTATTGTCTTTAAGACTCCACCCGGGGGTGGAGTCACAGCTCACAGCTGTAAAGCATAGTCCATTACAGGTCTGACTGTAAGAAAACACACAGGTTTCCTGGAGGCTTGCATCCAGTGTTTTTGAACAGTGCTTAACAGGCAAGTTGAGCAGGGGAGGTTGAGGGGGAGCAAGAGAGAACCTGTGTATTCTGAGGACCTGAATGATAGTGTTCTCAGAATTGCTTCTGGTTCCATGTGCAGGGCCAGCTAGACAGGCACAGAACAGGGGTCTCAACACATGGATGAGAAGCTGGTGC